ATAATAAGCATAAATAAATCCTGCTATTTCTCCCAAATATTAAAAGCTGAAGATGTATTTTCAAATAAAACTGGCTTTGATATTTATTTTCATTCTGAACATCTTGCCTGTATAAGGTTTAAAGAAAAAGTTATTCAGTCTTTGAGTAATTAGACATTTATATCACTTCATTCTATACAAGTCTCTTGTACTCAAATTAGTTTAACAGAAAGTAAATGTCTATAGAGCCTAATTTGCCTTTTTGAAGTTTCATAAGTAAGCCCAGTAGGATTTTTACACAGTAATGAGTTGTAGAGATATTCAGCTGGATTTAGCACTTAAAGGAGAGGTTTAAAGTTCCCAAATCCCCCTTTTTATGATACCATGAAGCCCCTCCCCCTGTTCATTCAACCAAATTTTGAAAAACATGTTCTTGGGGGAGGGGTTGGAAAAAAATAAGGAAGGAAGTCCATTAAATAACCAATAGGTTGTTCACTCTTTAAATATTCTGTGTTAATGTAAAACAGTTATTTCATGTATATTTAATTTCTCAATCTTAGGAGGATTTGAAATATAATATTTTAGCTGCATGAGGCTTGAAATTATTTCAGCATAAGCATGTTCTGCTTCTGTGTTAAAGCTACTCTTTCACCCACATGTCTGCTCCCCAGTTGCATCTTTCCTCGGCTCCTGAAGGCTTGATGATTGATGACTGAACGTTGCCAAAACTTTCTTGGGAGAGGAGGGGAGAATAATCAGAATTTGCAACCTTCTGATCCACATTACATTCTTTCTTTTTGAAGAACCCTAATCTAAAACACTTTTCTAGACCTATTATGTATATGAAATCAAGTGGGAGAAAATGTAAGCCTCCCAGTACAATATACGTTTAACACTGTGTTGTTTCTTAATAAATTTGTATTAAAAAGTGATGGGGTTTGTCCCACTTTATAGTTTCTACAATGAGACTGAAATTCCATTATCATAACAAGTTATGTACCTACATACATCTATTTAAGTTGCCTGTACTGTTTTCCTTTTTAAAAAAAAAAATTCAGGTAACCAGTCGTGGAGAAGCTCATTTGGAACTAAATGCATTCAGGAGGAAACATGATTGTGCTTTAGTAATATCTGGTGACTCTCTGGAGGTAATGGCCTGGCTTTCATCAATTGCTGATTATGTTATTTGTGCAGGTAGGTAGGTAGGTAGGTATGCTTTCCAAAAGACAGTCAAAGGAGTCCCAAGCAATGCCTTTGGTGAATCAAGGCTTACATTTGTTTTACATCAGCATAACACCTAATACTGTAACCCAACTGAGATATTCCATATTTCTTTTGCCTGTTGCCATTGTCATTAAAATACCTGTGTCCCCTGAAGGTAAAATAAAATTTCTGTAGCTGGTGGTAGAATCCTAACAGTTTCAAAGTCTCTCCGATCTGCCAAAAGAAAAAAAAAGAAGTTTGATAGTTGTACTACTGTTATATGTACCATGCCACAGGATCTTCACAGATACTTGTTTATTACACAAATTTTAAAACCAGTTTCTTGATTGTTTCAGAGAAGTTATTTTTGTGTGTCCTCAGCTCTGCTCATAACATACCTAGCTGTTATTTAATTTGTTCCCCTGATGTGCTGGTATAGGCAGTGAATGGATTGGTTTGTATTCATACCACCCTGTCCTTGCCCGTTGGTAAGGATAAAATTCCCCCATGCCAAGGTGTCCAGGGATCACAAATGTCTTTCAGAAATAACAGTTACACTAAGCCACATGGCCGCACAGTGGTCCTGAGAAATTGTGATTATATGAAAAAAGTGCTGCAGTTTCTATAATTTACAGCCTATAGCACTCTGTTTCTTACTTCACTGGAAATAAAGAGCTTACAGGTGCAGTAATGTAGTATGTTGTTCAGTTTCAAATATGAATACTATATTAACAGTTTTACATAGAACCTGTTCCCGTATTAGGCTACAAGAAGAGGATAAGTAAAGATTGACTAGTGTGTGGCATATATGCATCCATGATCTAGTATCTCTTTATAGCATTCAGTACAAATTTTCAGTACTTGCTCTTATCATAGTATCCAGAGGAGTAGCTCTGGAAGCAAAAGCAAGTAATCATGTGGCACGTTATTCAGTGCTTCAAATCCATTCTTTAAGATAGACTGCCATTTTCTTGGCTATTTAATTAATTGCCATTGAGCCAAGCCTGTCCATGGTAACTACACAAACAAATGCCCACTATCTTAATCTTATTGTCCTTGGCAATAAACTGTAACTCTTTCAAGGGCATTCCAGTGACACAAAATGACTCTGTCCAGCCACCTTTCTATTATTTTTCCCTTCTATATCCTTCAGCCTTGCACAAAAAAGTGAAATCTTGTTTTATTGGACCTCAGTGCAATCTACTTCACATGCAGCAGACCAAATTTCCATTGAAATTTATGTCATTTGCATGATTATGTCATTATGAACACAATGTCATTTGTGTGCATGATTTGTCTATTGACATTGTGTGCATAATGACATAATCACACAAAATTATGATTTGTGTCATATAAGTGACAGCATTAGCCTGCAAATGACGTAAATATCCCCTAATGCCTTATTCTCCAATTCGGCCGACTTTCCTCAATAACAAACACCTTCTCCATTTAGTCTATTAAAGTGACTTTTTTCTGTTCCATCATTCACTCCTATCACATGCCCAAAGAATGTGAGTTTCTATTCGCTGATGAGAGCAGCCAATCTTTATTTCGTCCATGAGCAATTGATTGGTTATTCCTGCAGTCCATAGCACTATTACAGTTATTTCCAAATCCATGATTCAAATGTGTCTTTTTTTTACGCACTCTTTTTCAATGTCCAGCTTTCAGGTGTTCTAACATACCCATTAGCTGCAATAGATTCCACATGAAGCAGAGGTAAACATTCTTCTTACATTTTGTCATCTTTTTCTTATTCATCTTATGTTAATTCTCTAGTCTCATATCCCTCTGCTTTTAACAAATCTGCTTCTTCACCTGGTATTTCTCTCTCCATGTATGCTTCTGTAAGATCCTAAGCAAAGGAATTCATTGAATGGTTCAGTAATTTGCACATTCTTCTGATATCTCCTTTTTAGGTATAGGTATACATTGATCCTTTCCTATATCTAGATCACACAGTCCTGTTCCATATTGTTTGACATGGAATTGTTAGCAGTTTGCTGTCTCTTCTGCAGCACTGAACAGTTCAATGGATATTTCATTTTTGCCTAGTACTTTTCAATTTGACAGGTCTATTGCCTGTTTTAACTCACTATCTAATGGAATCAAGCCCTGAATATGCAATTCTGTGAACTAGTATTCATCCCTTTTCAAATATTCTAAATTTTTGCATATCTTTTCCTGAGAATATTATCATGTGGGTCTTAGTGATATATAAAAGTCTGAATAAACAAATAACACCAAAGTTTTGTGCACTTGATACATGTATTTCATGAACAAACTCATCCAGTGTGCAATGTGCTAGTGCGGGAAAGTAACTGGTCCTTTAGGTGCAGTAACTGGTTGCACCATCTTTACCCTGAGTAACTTCAACCAGACTCTTCCTGTAATTGATGTTAAGTCCATCACATCACAAAATAAGAACTTTGGTACATTCCTCCATGGCAGATTGCTGCCACTCCATACCATTTCGGATTTTCTTTCATGAACTACTTATTTCAGGTCTACCACATTTTTATGGTTCTTTGATTTGGCCATATCAAACATTGACTTTGTTTTTCTTTATATATTCTCTTGTAGAAATTTGTATGTTTGGAATCATGAACCATTTGTAGTTCAGCTTTAACTGATGGTCTAATAGTCTTCTGTAGAATTCTCTGAAACAAAGCAGAATTCTTTCTTTCTTCAATAATAGCATGTCATTCAGGTCCTGATGCAACTAAACATTTCCAAACCATGACAGTGCTTTCTCCATGCTTGACAGTGGTATGGGCTTCTTATTATGCAATAGTGTTTGGTTTCTGCCAGACAGAACAACACCCATGTAACCCTAAAAGTTCCACTTTTCATTCATCTACTCATAGAACGTTCCTCCAGAAATCTGAAGGGTCATCTAGGTGCTTTTTGGCAATCTTGAGCTGAGCATCAGTATTCTTTTTAGTGAGCAATGTGTTCCTCCTTGCTGCTATCAAGTTCCCCAGACCAGAACTTAAATCTCCAATCCCTGACTTTACATGGCTTAAGCCGACTGCGTGGTTCAAACTCAGTAGAAGTCTCTTAGAGATTCAGTGCAGTGTGCTAAATAAGAATCTTTATTGCAGCTAGTTTGCAGCCATATTAAACAATGGATTGCCTTCTGTCAGCATGAGAATACAGTTCCCTCTTATATCTATGACAGTTTAAAATTAATGGCATCTCTTTCCTGAGAACAGCTGCTTCTCAGCAGCTACTCTCCTTTGAATTACATTTTTTCCCAAATATTTTTTTGATGATGGAATCATGAACACTGACTTTAGCCAAGGTGAGAGATGGGGCTTACCTAAATTAAGCAGCAACCAGTTCTAACAACAATTTATAATATTACCTCTTGCAGCCTGAAAAGGACTAGGCTAAATATCTGGGCTACAGTCAGCAGATACAAAAGAGTGACTCTCTTATGGTTGTTGCACATCTCCAAACACCAATCAGGAAATAAAAGATTTACAATTTTCAGTGGTTGTAATTGGTGTAAATTCCAAGAGGAAACATCATGTGGGAATCCTCCCATGGCCTTTTTTTAGACTGGAAACTCTGGTTAGCCAGGAGAGCTACAGAGTTGTGTGACAAGATACCCCACTAGCAGTAGAAACTTCCCTCACCTCCTAAAGAACACCTCAAAAACATCACCGAGAAAAATTTGAAAGAAATTCTCAAAACCAGTGAGTTAGACAATAGAGGTCTTTTTAGCAGAAGAGAACTTCTAAGAAATGACTAGCAGAGGTATGGAGCAGAAAAAGAAAGGATATCATGGGACACCTATATAGTTGCCAAGAGTTGACACTGACTTGATGGCACGTAATCAAGGGTATAACAGGTTTCAGCAGCAAATGACATACTAAGGTAGAATACTGACCTTATATTTCATTCTTCCTAGTGAAAACAGGGAAATGGAAAAGTTGGGGGGCAACAACTATTGTAGTAGGGCAGAAACGCAGGTGCTCAGTCTGGCCATAAAGTTTTCCTCACTAGAAGAAAGTATATATGCTGCAGTCAGTCAGTCATTTTATTTTGGTTGTTGATCAGCAAAATAAAATAAAAGAGTCACAATTGATTAGACTAAAACAAGCTATAAAATCACATACAGTCAGGTCCAGAAATATTGGGACATTGACACAATTCTAACATCTTTGGCTCTATACACCA